ATATATATATATATATATATATATATATATATTAATCTATAAATAAAGTTACATTTTATAAAGTAAAAAGATGAAAAGTGTAAGAATCTTTATTGTGTAGTTTTATTGAGTTTCTTATTTTCTTAAATTGACAATGTTGTGACAAAAAAATATCTTTTATTATAATATATAAAATATTTTAATAATATAATTGATATTATAATCTTTAAAATAGATAACGTCATTTTTTGAATTACTCTTACAAAACCAAAAAGTCAAGGCATAAATGTTCAATGACTAGTCGATTAGTGAATAACACTTAGGCATGGCAATGGGGTCCCCGTCTCCGTCTCCGTCTCCGATCCCCCATTTTTGTTTTCGTCTTCGTTTCCATTTTCATTGGGAATTTGATCATATTCCCATCCCCGTTTCCAACGGGGATTTTCTTTTCCGTTTGTGTAAGTTTTTATTAGATTCAATGTGTGAGATGATATACATGTTTAAATCTCACATTTTCCCAATAAACCTAAAATCAAAAGAAATTTATTTTCATACAAAAAATATACATCATCATATAATGATTAATAAATCGGAAACCAAAAAAATTAAATTTAATCTAAAAAAAATTAACGTCACATGTACCAAAACATATCTAGTAATATTCAAAATATATTGAAATATATATTACTATTTACTAATTTTATAGAAATAAATAATATATAATATAATTTATCAATTAATATATATATACAGGTACTAAGCGGGCCAGGGCGGGAAGTGCGATACATGTCCCCGTCCCCGGTTTAAGCCAAACCCATCCCCGAGACCCAGTTTAACGAGGAATCCTCGTCCTCGACCAGGGTGGGTGGACCGGGTTCCCCGACGGGTCGGGGCCAACACCCATCCTAATAACTCTAAATCAAAGTTCTTGTTCTTTGTTCACATAAACTTTTTAGTTTATATCAGGGGTGTTCGTGGTGTGGTTTAACACAAAACTACAAAACCTTGTCGAGCATGCGGTTTGAACATGTATTGTTTTCTAACAAATCCAACGTCGGGCCAAGGCGTTGTCAGTCGGTGATAGCCGCCAAACCACACTTAATGCATTTTAATCCAATAATTTTATATAATAACTTCAAAATGAATATGATAATCATGTATCCATAATCAATACAAAGAAAAGTTTTAGTACGACGAAAATACACAATTTAAAATAGTCTAAGACCAATAAAAAATTCCATAATTAATTTAATTACATCTGAAAAATTAACTTCAAAATAAATTCAACGTGTCGAACCTAAACCTATGCTCGAGAGATAGTTGTACGTAGGCTGATAAGGGATGTATGGATTCTCGAGATGATGTGTGACATGTCCATACATCGTCTTTCATCTCGAGTTCTGATAAATGACAAAATAAAATAAGTCTAATAAAAAGGTTCAAAGGTAAAATTTAAAAGGAAATTTGAAATTTTAGTAAATAATGATCAATAACGTATTAAATGTTTTTATATAATTGATGATAGTGCAATACATATACATATACATACATATATATATATATATATATTATAAATACATACGGTACGGTTTGAACCGTTGTTTCCAAATCAGAACTATAAACCGCATTATAAGTACGGTTTGATGAAAACACAAACTGTATCGTGAATGTTCTAAACTGCATGATACGATGTAGTGTGGTACAATATGGACGGTTTGACGGTTTAAATAAACACCCCTACTTATTATATATATATATATATATATATATATA